TGAACATCTGTTCATATGCTATTGTTAAAGACCTTCGAATTCTTATTGGAGTGACAGAATTGTTCCTGAATGAACGCAAGAACTGAATTGTCTAATGAGAAACTGAAATTCAGAGATGGAGATGTTGAGTTCTAACGCATCAGCTGATCACAAACAAAACAACTTATCCGTTCTGATCACAGAAAAAAAAAATTCAAATTGTTCCTTTGTTAACACTTTTTGTATGTTCAGTTTCTGTCTTGAGCACCAGGCCTCAGTTGTTCAAAGGATAACAATTTTTACGAACGAGCGCAGTGAGTGAGCAAAATATTCTCTTCAACACGAGAAAACGAAATTCATATCTTCAAGCCACGGTGTAAGTTTCTTTTTATTATATAGACTGACTTCATATCTTTCTCCGCAGTTCAATGTATGATCTTTCATATACTCAATTGCATTAATTGTAGACTGAATGTGAAAAAGCGAGAAATGACGTCATTTAATATCCGCCAAGTGAGAAAAACGCCACTCGGGTCCCGGATGTAGTTTCATTTGAATTTTTCGAATGGTGTATTCTAGAAAACACTTGTGTCTACACATTAAATCGATTTATACGCTGGATAGTTTTATCAACCCCTTGAACAACTGGCCCAGATACAACCTGCCACCAACGAACAACTTCAAAAAGCACCTTTTCTGTTTAGCAGCACATTCTGGTACATGTAGCACTGAACTGAGTCGTCCCCAGTCTTACCATTCTTTGGTGCTCTTTGGGAACCCCAGCTTCAGTCAAGTCACCTTCTGTCAAGTCGCTAAGGAATTCCAAGTCATCCCATCCATATTCCAGAAGACTGCTGGTATATTGAGGAAATCCTATTCGTTCCATAATTTCACCAACTGTTTTAGGCTTGGATTTCTAAAACAACAAAACATACAATGTCGTACTGTCGGCTGCTTGTACACGACTTAGGACCTTTTAAAGAAGTTNCGGGCGTGCGCAATATCATCTAATTCAGTACAGGTGTAGCTAGACATGACGTGTGACCAGGAACACGTGACCATGACGAGTGGTATCATCATTTTAGGCTCAGTAGCTCTATTTGCCACCGGAAGTATAGGTTTTCGCATAAGAGGTCATACATTTCACCAGCCCACAGTAGTTGCGTCTGCTGCTTTTGGATTCAAGGCTATGAAGATCAATTTGACTACTGGGAAAAAATTTTTTTCCACACTTTGGAGGTAAAGAAGTTTAATTATTGTGTTAAAAATTGTGGGAAACAACAGTCAGCCTGCTTGTACGTAGAAATAGGGAGTTTAAGCAAATCACTACGGCTGGTGCTACTACGGCTGCCNCATACGCAGTGTCTCATTTTGGGGAAAATTTACTTCCGGCAGCCGTATCAGCGCCAGCCGTAGCGATTTGCTTAAAGTCCCTAATACTTTGGCTCGCCAACCACTCCCTAACAGATCCTGTTCTTATCAAAATCGATGTACTATTTCGGTGCGCATGTCCAAGAGTTTTCACCTCGATGCCTTATTAGTAATCACTAATCGTAGTAATCAATACAGTGATCGATGCTATAGTAAGTTAGCATTTTAACTCGAACGCATATTTTCAGTCGTAACTCGGACTGCAACTCGAACGCATGGTATGGACAGAAACATAATTTAAATCATTTTCACCAAGTGGTGTTTATCTGTCAGTCTGTCTACTATGACGGAGGATTATGCAGAAACTGTGACTGGAAATGTTTTTGCAGTTCACATACAGAATTGTTTTTTCTTGTATATTTCATTGGAAACACGCAATAGCTTAAGATATTGATATTAGCTTTTTATAACATATCGGATTCACGAAAAATTTGTTTTGTGATTCCGAGGTTTTGGCTATTTATTGATACCATGGAAATTTCGATTGCCCCAAAGAAAAACATAATACCAAACTTCACTCTACTTTTTACGTATCGACAGGTGTAATTTTCACATCATATTGAAAATGTCTGGGAAAAACTATATCGAGACACCTGAAGTAAACGTTGATATTAGACTACACAAAATCGAGTTGTAACAAGACAGATGGAGGGTGAGAGAGTCAATCCCCACTATAAGCGTTATTGTCATTGTAATCCCGCTCAAGTTATTTTTAGAAAGTTTCCAATACTCTCACGGATATTGTTAGCAGGCCCAAGCAGTGCGTAGATGTTTTCGTAGAGGATGAAATCCACGTGAGCAAAATTCTTGCCACAGGATTGGCTATTTTTAGACCCTCCCGACATGTTCAAAACGGAGAGCAATCTAACAATGACTTGAGAGACGTATATACCTCTCTTACCCTTCATCCACTCTTGGCTGTGAAGAAAAAAGCATTTTTTGAAAATTAAATACCTTGGCTGGTAATGGAGGTGGATCTCCTGACATCTGCAAAAATATTCGACAGCAATAAATACAGTTTAAACACACTCTGCACTAACATGAACTATGTACGACCATGTACTATCTTACTCAAAGTGTTTTTGCCATAAAAGGTCGAAAACAGAGAATCTCAAAGAAACCAAACCCTTGCCGTGTCCGGTTGAGTGGTTGAATGTCGTTTTGGAATCACTGGAGGATTTTCGTCAGCGCGCTTTGCTGTACCTATATATAGAAAAAAAAAATCCATTACAAAGTAGTACTTTACAAAAAAAAAAAAAAAGTTATAGTGCCCCATGCAACTAAACACACCAACTCACAATAACTGATTCACACGATGGCGTCATTCTACTATAACTACCAGATCCTTCGCGTTTTAGTTTTCCCGTGTTAATAAGGGCATTTGTTATCCGAACATCACCGCGGTTTAAAAATTTAAATAACAATAAAAGAAACAAAATTAAATCTGATAGTTAAAGTCAGATGACGACATAGCACAGTGTGTTATCAGAGGGAGGTGCAGTAGCCTCAAGGTTAGTATGCGGACATTGGATCGAGCGGTCTGGGTTCGAGCCCCAGGTGGGTCATTGCGGACCAAAACGTTATTTTATGTGTGACAAGCGGTCGGAAATTTTAAAATCTCTCGCGCCGGCTGCTCGGAGGTGAATGGTACTCGCTAATCACCTCCGAGTTAACCAATCAGAGCGCGCGAAAAGCACTATTCACTTGTGTGGTATATACCAATCATAAATATAGCTTTTGACGGTGTACTCAAAAGCTCAGATAGGCTATGTACTAGATATTTAATGTGCTAATAAATACAGAGCTAGCTGCATCTCAATGTGAAAAAAGTTATCAACTCCTTGGCTTTGCTTTTAACAACCAATTAATGAGCCAACCAACATTTATTACCCGCTATTAAAGTTGCTTACTAGCTCTTTCCTTTAGTAATCCATCCTTGTACTCCCATGTCATTTTTGTGTTCACTCAAACGAAATGGAGGCTAACTCGATAACCTCGCGGTTCTATTAGCCTCCATGCACAAACTATATACCATTGTCACCTTTAATTGCTATATATATCTTTTCATCTCTTTTATGCTAACATAGTAATTTCAAACTGTAAGTGCAAAAAAATAAAGTGAAGTGAAGTGAGGTGAAGTTACTTGTTTTCTGTCCCCTTAATTATGACAGAAGTTGATAATAAACAGTAGTTCATTCGTTTGTTCGCTTTATCTGTTTAGTGCTACCAACCTTGTGGAACATGACTTCTGCGTTGCGGTACTTGAGGCATTTTCACTGATCCTTTTCTGGTCACTAAAAATAAAAAGCCAAAAAAAAATATGAAATTTAGTTGACAGCGGAAGCCACCCAGTGAAGCAAAACTAACCTTTTCACATAAGGCCAGTATTTACCTGTTTTGTCAGGCAAGCAAAGATTCAAAGATTCAACTGAAAATAAACGCTCTCTTGTTATACTCAAACTTTCATTCCGCTGCGTGAAAACTGAGAACACGAAACATTGTGTGACGCATCAAACTGTTGCATTTTGATATCTTCTTACGGTCAAATTTAATTTTTGGTTGTAAGCATAATTTTAAAAGAAAATTATGTCTTTAAAACATGGCAAATGAACAGTTAACCATCATTAGGGCCATTTTTAAATATGACTCGAGTATCCCAAATACAAATACAAAACCAAAAACAGCACTTTATAAATGCATCATTGACAAAGATCTTCTGCACACTCAAAACCGCTAACAGTGAATAAAACCAATGAATAGTACACATATAGCCTAGATACTACCTTACTGAAGTCTTGTATTATTGATTAAGCTCTGTTGCGAATACGTGAGTAGAGTTCGAAATATCAAACCAAACGGATCTTATCAAGGACCCACTGGTGAAATTTTAAAACAACTTGCCAAATAGATTCCTCACTTCAGTTTACAGAGACAAGTCTCAGATTTAGAAGAATGTGGTAATGCAAGATGTGTATGTCATGAATACAACCACAAAAAAAAATAAAGTTAAACAGCTCGAAAAAAACTCACTCTCGAGATCATCTGTGCTGATGAGATCTAGAAGATAACAAGCAATATTAGTCTTTCTTTCTCTGTAATAGAAGGGTAATGTTAATTCAGTTTAGATGTTAGTTAGTTTTTATTTCGACTAAATGCTATTCATTTTCAGCTATTTTTTTGTTAATTCATCCCTAGTCAATTGTGATTGTTGACTAGGGTGGAAAAAGAAGAAAAAGAACTACATAAAGTTGAAATAAAAAAATTAACTACGATCACAAAATTAACGACACCAACTACATCGTAGCATTAAATTTGTGATCCCACTTCAGATACAGCAACGACGACGACAGGCAGCTGGTGATTGATTGTTTTCCTTGACGTTAAATATGTTAAAATACTGAAGCAAGGAAAGCAAACTCCGAAGTAAACGTAAAGCCACAAATGGAGTAAAATCTTTAACGCTAAAGTAGCAATTCCACGCAGCAATCCTACGCGCAACGACTACAATATTTGCCTTTTGGCAAATTCAAGACGTTTTTCCGGAACCTGACGAGCATGCCAGAGATGTACCACAGGGAACACGAGGAAGGGCTACAAAGTCAAGCAAAGTAATGCTTACTGGAGTACTAAGAGAAAAAGGCACACAAATTGACATAAATTCTCAGTTAGTCATTACCATCTGACTGTGAGGATGTTTTCATGTTGTTGTTGTCTGGAAGCTTCACATGCATCTCAATCCTACGAAGCGATTCACGTAAGTGCACACGTAATGATGACAAGTCATATAAGCGTAAAGAAAGAAGAATTTAATTGTAACAGCAATCCTCCGTAGGAAAAAAGATGGCGACTGGTACATTTACCCATACCGAGTTCTTAGCGTACGAAAACCTTAACAAAGTTACAAAATCTTCAAACCTAGGCTACTTAATGTCCTTTGTACAAGGACAAATATTGTAAAAATTTGGCTTTCTTTGTGCCTTTTAGGYTGTGTTAGGTTCSCAAGGCATTGTGGTAAAATGTACAGCCGCCATCTTTTTTCCTAAGGTGGATTGGTTTGTACAGAMACATGGTAAGAGTATTTCTGTCTGTGATTCTTTGCTATTCCCACGCTCTGTTCGACTTGCAATCTTTGGTAACTACTTGAAATGGTTTTCTATGTAAGGGTTAGCATGTTTTGTGCAGTCCATGAGTGTATGAGTTAAAGCACCTGTTGCACATAAGAAAATCTGGGACTTCACTTCTTTCAACCAAATGAAGTGAAGAAGATTATCACAAACAACAAACAGGTCATGACGTGATACAGAAAACGAGGGGTGCTGGAGAAAGCGAATACACAACTAAACATCATAACGTACATAATTTCTCCGGTTTCTTCGCCATGATGTGACAGAATAATGCCATCGCATTCCTGTGGAATGACATTGACCATGGTCCTCAATGCGATACAGCACTCCCCTGGACAATGATTGAACAACTGTCAGTCAAAATATGATGCAAGTTATACAGACTGGGAAAAATTCCACGAGCGTCTGCCATTTTGAACTTCTGTTGGCAAAATCGAGTAATTACACTTTTTTAGATGGAATAACACACAGAAGACAAAAACATTGTTTACCAGGCTGGATTTTTAGCTTTTAAGAGTCCCTGTCCATAAATATGGAAAATAACTCGGAAAATAACTAGGGCATGACAAAAACTACTGGATAGTTTTTTGGCAAAATATCCTTTTATTTCAAAGAAATANCAAGAATGACTATTTCTAGCGTGAAGATAAGGGATAAACGTGTCTTGGAAAATGTAAACTTTCGAATAACTCAGCATTTTAAAAGTTGTTCTTTTATGGGTCTTTATTTTAAGATTAAGGCCCGGGAAACATTGTACTAAGAGTATGTTCTTAATTTTAAAGGAAAGGCATGATTTATACCAATAAAACAGCCGTAAACAGCAATTTCCTGTTTATAGCCTCATTTTCATGTTGCAGCAGAAAGCGAGTTGGACGTTGATCGTATTTTGAGGCTTTCCCACGCTTGAATCTTTAGAGACTTTTAGTATGTTAATGTATAGGTTATTTCTAACTGGTTTACGATGAGAAAGCTTCTGTTGCAATTAGTAGCAGGTCTGATTACAAAATGCCTGGACTAATACCTCAAGGTTCCAACAAAAAGAATAATAAGTGGCATGAAAGTGGTACACTTAACACAGTTTTGGTACACATCCCAGCATAACATTTAAACATACAGGAACATACTACTCTGTACATAACTTTGCATGATCAGAACAATGTTTACCATAAGACTCGTCGTTGTCTACAGACTTGATGGCCAGTAACAGATGCTGTTCCTCAAGGTATCTGTAATCTGATATTATGGGATGAAGCTAATGAATGAAAGAGAGAGAAAGAGAGAGGGAGAATTAATGAACTAAAAACGTTTTAGCTATTAGAAATCTAAAAGTAGACCAAGATAAATGTATGGAAGGTACAGTGACTTTCTGTCACTTTTGGTCTGAAGAAATTATTAAACCTAAAAAATTGTTATGACATGCAAAAAAACAACAGAAACATTAAAATGCACTACAAAGCCAATAAAAGTACAAAACAGTAAAAAGAGTTCGTTCAAAATCTGAGTTATTTATTTTACAACAAATAATTGCTCTTTTGCTGATTATTCAGGTTTCCTTCTGGGAAAAGGAAGAATTGGGCCATTTGATTAGAGGACACCGTCTACAATTTTGGCAAAAGGATAAGCATGGTGTAGTAGAATCATCATAAAATCCACTTTCCATGCTGAGAATATTAGGCCATTTTCGAATTACCCTTCTGCCTGTCTCTCAAAGCGAATCTTGGTGTCCATCCTTTCATATGAAAATGAGATTTCATTCCCATGCAAATTAAAGTCATTTCTTATGAATGGTTATTGACCAGGCCTCGCTTTGATAGAGAGGCTTAAGGCAACTTGGAAATGGGCTATTTGTTTAGTAAAAGATTACCCAATTTATGCCAAGCTCATTTTAAAATCAGAAATTAAACAAAAGCCACCAATGCCAGAAATGACTTCCTGAAAAGATAAAAAAAAAAAAATAAGAGATCTCCAATTTTGGTCACCGTTACAGACCCAGCTAAGAAAGACGACATTGAGATTGATGGAAAATGGTGAGTTTTAAAATGTCCCCACTGATAATAGGTCACAAGAACCAAATTTCCGACTTACTTGAGGAATAACTGCCTTACTCCACTCGGGATACGAATAGTCTCCACTTGACTTGTTTTCACTGAAGTGCTTTTTTCCAGATTCGACCACATTGTTCTTTTCTGTCCTCACCATGTCTTAAAAAAAGCAAACGAACAAAAAGAAAAAAAAGCACAGGTATCAGTGATAAATATACATAACCAAATGGTGACCAACAGCCAATACCAACAACTCTGGTAACTTCAATATATATACAGTATGAGGCAAATAAAACGTTGTCTACTGTCAGAACAACAAACATAACATTTTCCTTTACTCTCTCTTAACATCATTACATATTACAAGTTGCAATTAATTTCTCCTTCTTGATCGTCATTTTATTTACCTGCTGTCTATCTAGAACTTACATGTAAATTGTACGGGGAGCTAACAAGTAAAAAAACTAAGCTTAAAATAAAGACCCATAAAAGAACAACTTTTAAAATGCTGAGTTATTCGAAAGTTTACATTTTCCAAGACACGTTTATCCCTTATCTTCACGCTAGAAATAGTCATTCTTGAATTGTAATCTACACATGCTATACAAGTAAGTCTTCCGAATCTTCGCTTTCGCAGTCCAGGGCGGTGGTAGAGTTAGTGCACGCGGACCCTTTGCACTGTGTGAATTAAGCTTTCCAGCTCACACATTAATTTCACTACAGAGTGAATCAGTATGTGTCTTATCTCAAGATTGCACAATAAATCCATCAATCAATCAATCAATTCTAATAAGTAATTTCTTTGAAACACATTTTAGGATTAATGACCCTCTTTCGAGGCTTGGTCTTAGCTTCCACTAACGATACTACATTTAGGAAATAACACACTGGCTGTGGTTAAAATTTGGGTGGCAGTGAAGGACGACTGGGGAGTAGGGGCCCAGGAAGGGGGCCCTCCTGGGGGAGTACAGATCGGGTGGTACCGGGGGTAGTACCGGGGGTAGCCACCCTGGAATAAAAGTTCCAGACCTGCCTCCAGGGGTGAGGCNAAGTAAGTAAGTAAGTAAGTAAGTAAGTAAGTAAGTAAGTAAGTAAGTAAGTAAGTAAGTAAGTAAGTAAGTAAACTTTATTTGATAAGTAGGTTGTGGAGGCGATTTGGCAGCCGAAGGGCTGATGTGGACCTACTATACACAAAATATAAAATTTTACAAACATGAAAGATATTAACAAAAGAATAAGAACTATGTACAGGGAAAATTAAGGTAATTAAAATGTTTTGTACCTACGTTTAGTTACTTCTTTGTTAACATCACAAGTGTTATGCTATGTACAAAAGATTTAAGTGAAGGGTTACATTGAGCTGCAAATTACACCCTGTAATATCTGGGATTGTCTCACTTTAAGGTTAGTTTAAGTGCAGCCCTCAACTTAGATAATCAAAGAAAGGTCACAGGATCCGTACTCAAACCATTGAACAACATCCAATACCACTGATTACATCCTAGTGCATTAACAACAAAGGTTTTGGTTCATCTGGTAAAACATGTTTTAAGTTATTACTTCAAAATACCTGGTGAAACAGTGAAAGGCAAAGACACATCATAAGTACAGAAAACAGGCCAGTGGTCGCTTGTTTTGATGGTTGTAGTGCAGCCTTAAGGAGAAACAAAAACAAGTATTACATTGTCATCAGGTTTCTGCAAAGAGTTTAGGAAGCACCGCATTGTCACAGCCTGGGATCCACACACTAAAACCACATTTTTAGTCTGTCATGAGGGGAGAACTCTCCTGGGGAGCCTGGCCTAACCAATCAATCAAAATGAATAATCAGAAATCAATTAACAACGATCAATACCAATCGATAATTGCTAGTTAACTGATATCAATTGATCATTGATTGCTATTGACTGTCATCAGTATCTTTCAGGGTATATAGCCAGACAAATGTATACTGGCCATATATTACTAGCTTTTATTAAAAAAAAAAACAGGATTGTTGGATGAGGCAATTCAAGAGTTTTCAGTGACTTGGCTATCATGGTATATGAGCCATTATACCATGCCCTACAAAAATGGTAAGCGTACATGTAGTTTTAGTTGTTAGTTTTCTATATTTTGGGGCTGTTTTAATAAAACAATTACTCCACTGGTGTTTGCTGGATATGAGATGATTATATGTGCCACGTTAGCTATCTGCCATCTCACATCAATGTGCACTCGTTAGTGCATAGAGAACATCTGAGTTCCCTGATTTTGGTAAGCCTTTCCACCATGTCTGAAAGGACTATAAACGAAAACACTGGAAGAAATCCAGTAACTGTAATTGTTTTGCCAAAACATACATCTTCCTATTAGACAAGGCCACTTAACCCAAGTACTTCTACTACTGACATTCACACAAATATCTGTTTCTTTGGTGGGATTGCATAGTCTGTGATGTTGTGCATAATAGCACAATATCTAATAGTTCAGGTTTAAGATTGCCTAAGTGTGAAAATAGAAAGCAAGGCATACGGTGACTTCAACTTTGGAAATGGGACAATATTGGAGCTGTAAAGAAAAGAGAACGAGGAACAAAAAGGAAGAGGTCTTCTAACATCTTTCCATTCCAGATGTAACTTCTGGTGAACTCACATTCAAAGCAGCTCTATGGTCTTGACCCTTAAAAACACTATTATAGCTATATCACATAGTATTTTAACCTTTGTTTAGCTCAGTTAAGTCAGTCAGTCAACAAAGGGGACATCAAATTTTATGAAAGTGGCCTTGGCTCTGGATCAGTAATTCTTCATTTTAATTTTCAATCTTAGACTTATATGGCAGTTCAGCTACACTTCTACAATTGCTCGAATAATTATTTCCCTGTTATGATCAGTAACATAACATGATATCATACTAACTATTTGAACTAAACTTTCTGAGAATGGTTATTAGAATTATGCACCAACCATATGAAGTACAGCTGATTTTAGACTGTGGAAAAGAGTGCTTCAGCACTCTGTCACACCAAGATGGCACATTCATCAGCACCTGCAACATATCCATCATTAGTATCACCCAACTAGTGGACTAATGCAAATCCTGCATTTTGATTGGCTATGCTACTAGAGGACTATTACTAATAGTCCTCGAGTAGCAAAATTGGCGCCATCGAGCGTGACGTTTTCTTTCGTTTTATTCCCAAATAAATATTTCTTCAACTTGCATNATAATTAAATTCCTGAGAAGTCTAAACAAAGGAAATTTACGGTGTCTTGATGCTTACAAAAGTTGAAATTATTGAAAAAACTGATGTGTGCACACACACAACTTTAAATTTTAAATGACAATTCAATCCGAGCGATCCTTTTCAGGCACAAAGTTTAATAATACGTCAAGAAATAATTTGAAACCGTTGTTTGAAGTAAATTTTAGTAAGAATTCTACTAAAACAATTAGATTATTTGCTCTTGATTTCTATGAGGTGATAGTTGATTTGGCCTTCAGCCTCATCAACTATGACCTCATAGAAATCTCAAGCTCATAATCTAATTGTTAATTAGTCATTAGTTAACTGGTTTTAGTAATTAGTAATTAGTTAATTGGTCCTGCAACAGTTACAAGGATTAACTGACAAATTAGAATGGCAGGCATCTAACAACGGCAGTATAACATTAATGAAAAGTACCCCTGATCTCTTGACTTTCTCCCAGATGTATTCAGCACTACCTCGTTTGTATCTGTATGTTGGTGCAAAGTTAATCGATTCCTCCTCTGAAACAGAAAGATATTAAAAGGATGTCCATCAACATTACCTNGGACACTTTCTTGAAGCTAGCTGTCACATCTCTTGCTGATGAACTTTGTGCTGCCCTCCTGATGAATGCCCTATTATGCAAATTTGCAACAAGAAATTCATAATAATACTTTGGCAATGACTTTTCCCCGAATTCAGCTCCTGCCCGAATCACATGATTGTCATGAAATTGAACTAAACCTCTTCATTCTTGTCTCATACGGCAATTTCAAGATTCAGAAGAGTGCAATTCTATTCCAGCCTGTTCAGTGGTGTTCCTTGTGAATAAATATGTTTCTGGCATTTCTTCTAGAAAACAAACAGTTGATTATGAAAACTACATTATTTTGGGGGCTTCTTTTCACTAATTCCATGCAATCATCTCCACTCACCTCAGACAATTGCCATCAATGTCTAAGTTATATCTGAGTTTTGCATTCTTTGAGGTAATGTGTTAACTAAACAATTTGATATCTGGTAGTTCACACACAATAGACTTGAGTACCTGAGTGTATAATACAGTAAGTGAATGAAAATCTCTCACCTGAACTTCCAAATCTATTCTGTAATTGAGATCTCCAAACCAAAACACATGATGGAACTGGTGTACGATACCAAACACACCTTTTTGACCAAGATTAAGTCCATTGAGAATATCTAGGAAATTCTGATTCCTCCTGTAACCATCAAGAAAAATAGAACACATTTCTATTTTGCCATTATCGATCAGGCCTCCTTGTATTTTGCTCTTAAGATCAAAGAAGGGCTACACATACTTTGGGAGAAACCACCACTTAACCCACAGGCTGAACTTGTTAATATAAAACTTTCTGTTTAATTTTTGTGTTACTGTTGCAATTGTCTTAATTACTGCCATTGTTATTCTACTGCACACTATGTTCATTTCACATTGAAGATGGCAAAAGCATCTGTCAAAATATGTTTGTTAAACTTACAAGTGTCGTGTTTTTCTTTAAATGTAAAACACAGTTCATGATTAATTGCACGCCCCTTCCTGCTACCCAATTTAGACACATGTGTAAGTTTGTTATCATGGTAACTGCATGGACCAAGTAAAAAAGACGAGACAGTGTCCTGGCTGATTAATGAATGTCTCCTTCCTTATTGTCATATTAACTTAATAATTGCCAAGTGCCACCACACTATACAAATAAACTAGATAAAAAGATCCCACAGAGCAAAATAGAACAAAAAAATAAAATATACTGTGGGAAGAAGTAAGAATGGAAGAATGGAAGTGGATTACAGTTCATGATTTTCTGACAGGCTGGGAAGAACTAAAAATTACCATTCTGGTGGAGTGTTGATTCTTTTAGTCATTATTTTTCTTCTCAGTTGATTTTCTTTGCTTTCCATAGCAAGATAACATGAAAGCAAGTTTAAAGCAAACTCCTTTCTTTACAGTGTTAAAACATGTTATGTCAGCAGAACTTTCTCTCATATATTAATAATTATTTGTTCCAAGGAAACAAAAGGCAACAAGTCTTTTTAATCTCACAGATATTATGACTATAGTTTGCATATTATGACTGTACCACAAAGGTCCCAAAGTACTTGTAACAACCCCCCAAAGTAGGAATAACATTTCTCTGTTAGGAAATGCCATAATTTACACTTCATGAGGGTTCAACCCATCATGGTCTAGGACTGCACAATAATTCAAAGCAATGTACTTTTACTTTCCTATGACTGTCTAGAATGTGGGTTTCTTCAAATACAAGTAAATCAATGTTCATAGTGTCAAACTGGTTCAGTACCAACTGGCTTCCCTGCTGTCATGGTATAATATGATCGCCATGTTTTTCACAACCTATTCAACAATTCAGTAAGACATTAAACCCAGTGTATTGGAGCATGTTCGATTGATAGAAGGGCAGTGCCAACTCACAGCTGAGTAGACCTGAAAGTCATGTGACACAGTACACATGCAAATAACAATATTTATTGTATATGTACAAAGTTATAGCTAAACAAGGCAGACCTTAACACCCGTGCTTCAGTACTTCTTGCAGCTAGATGACAGTTGACAAAACACAGGGACACTGGACCCAGAGAAAATGAGATGCCCACACCACCTTTGTTACCTGAAGTTAAAAAAAAAGTGATACAACTCATAATCATAATCAGTTTTCTTCAAAATGGTTGACAACACTTCTCTCTGTATCAATATGTAAATACCACAAAAACTCAGATATGCTACACATNTCTGTAAAGAAATATCCTCTCCTTCTTTTTTCAGAAAAATGCTGATGTCAGCATTTTTGTTGAGATTCAAGGCTAATTATCTCAAAAAACTGTGTGGCTACCCCCTATTTTCTTTGTAGATTCCAATAGCCCTTAGAAAGATCTGCTTTTTCTGCATGGTCCTAACCTGACGCAAAAACCTTTGTATTCAGTAGGCACCGTCCTTAAATATACACATAAAAACATAGCTTACAAAAAAAGATTTAAAAGAACTTAAAAACAAAATTTGGAACACCTTCTAAAATTGGTGTGAAGTGGTGTCACACATTAAACAAAAGCAAACATCATTCAATCTGAAAAAAATTAATTCACACAAGTATAGAAAATCTTACCAAGAGCATTAGCTATGCCAGTTTTAACACTAGATTGCTGGACATGAGATATCATGTTTTTGAAGTCTTGATTAACAAACACAACCAGTCGAATACTCCACAATGAACACACAGCAACCTGCAAGAAGGATTTCAAAAGTGATCTTTAGGTGGTAAATATAAGTGCCATCACCATGCCCTAGTATAGTGTTTTGGTGTCCACCCCTTCAGTAGGGAGCTCAAGCAATCCACAATGGCATCAGAAAAAAGCTTCACCAAACAAGAGGTTTAATAGTGCATATGTGTTATACATGTATATCTGTTATAAATCTTGTTACACATCTGGCCCATTCTCTTGCCCAACTTGCAAATGGAGGATGTGAACCATGACAGCTAATTTCTTGTACAGTTGGGCCCCAGCCACTAATTTGAACTTTGTTATTTCAAACTCGAAAACATTATTTTTCCTTGGATTTGCCCTTCAGAAATTTGCTATCGGCAATTCTGAACATAAGCAATTTCAAACTATTTATTATTTCCCCCCATTTGGAATTGAATGCTGGAATTAACCATTTAAGCCCCAATAGTAAGCTTAATATTAGATCAATCCGTATGAACTTTGGACACCAAAAATCTGTGTTTCATCCAGAAAATTCTACTTGAGGGCCAACGTGGCCACTGAAAACCTTTGTAGGGGCCAATTTTTTTAGGAAAGGGCCCAATAAATTGTAAGCTACAGAAGAAAATAAAAGCAGTTTATTAGGATCTATGATAAAATTTGATAATAAGTGNCATGGTCTTTGATGACTGAAGTCACTGAACAAAACACATCAGTACAGCTACGACTGGACCCAACAATGGTCTTGATTGAGGGCTGGGGCCTGGCACTGGAATTCAATCACCGTCCTTATCCTTCTTTCGAGTCTACTGTCCTCCCTTGCAATGATACTTGTGTTTCTAGACTTTTTCCATCCGCCTCTCGAGTCTGGTCTTCTGGCGCAGGCTCCTTTCCTAAACAGTGGCTGATAATCAAGCCCATTCCGATTTAAGTGGTACCTTTTAAGGGTCAAATAAAGCTTGAGCCACTAGGCCCAGATTGGTCTCCTTTAAGGGTTTAATTCAAATGTTCTGACAAGCATCCTCAACCTTTTCATTTGGATTACCCCCTAGGCTCATTGCGCACTGCAAAGTAATAAAACCTGTAAAAATCACATTCATGTATTACAAACCTGTGTGCCAAAAGCATAGATATCATGTGGAAATTGGGCCAAGGTGGCATCCATTGTTTTACCACTGCCTTGGCACTTGAGCCATGACTTCATATCAGCAGGAGGATTAGCATTACCTGAATTAAGATAAAGCACTATTTTTTGCAAAGACCTTGCTGAGATTCTTGGTAAGTTTTTGGCTGCCAAGATTTTGATGTCTCACCAAGGTCTCAGCAAGATAAAGGAAACTTTCAAGAGAATCTGGGGGAGACGCGACTGAGATTCTGAGGAAGTTTCTAGCTGCCTATCTTTTGAGATCTGATTCTCATTGCCATTTTAGTGAGAACTAACCAAGATCTTTTGGAAAAAGAAAAATATCAGAGGACAAAAACCTGCTGATAATCTTGCCAAGGTCACAGAGATCTTTCTTAGATATCATAAGGTGGTAAAATTCCAAAATGGTGGAGGTGAGAAAAATTCTGGCAAACAAAACAAACACACCAACAAAACGACATTACTCTGCTGTGTACTATTTATTTACAGAAAAAGCTTGTCCCAATACCATACACCCTATGCAAATATGGCGGACCACTCAGTTGTTGCCCAAGATGAGTTGCATGAAAGTGAGGCCAGTTGGGCCTCGGAGTTTTGTTTTGACAATGCTTCCCCAGAAAAGTCTTGCTTTGTTGACGATCTGGTCTGTTTTATTTCGCTATGCCTATGAGTTTTTGTGTTCCTGAATGCCACCAGAAGGTAGTGAAATGTTCCACAGGAGGGAGAGTTTTTTTTAGTTTCCCTGTTGTCCTCTGAGGGGAAAACAGATGAAGGAAAGGAGTTCACGATTGCCGAGGGAACTGTAAAAGTTTGTTTGCTACATTTCAGGCTAGAAGATCTTAGAAAATGTGTCACTGATTGCATTTAGCTCCAAGTCGTTGTCATTTGGCTCAATGTTTTCACTGGTTTCAACGACAGGTGCAGTTGAAGTTCATTCGCTTGGTGATTCCACCGTAATATTTGTTTTGTGCGATTCAGTCTGAGTTAAGTGGTAGCGGACGTAGACAACTTCTTCTTTTGAGACAGAGGATGTATTTCAAGAAGTGCTTTTCTTTACTTTGGGGAAGGTACTGGCCATGCAAATCGTGTTGGAACACCACCAGACACCACATAAGCTCATCATTTAAACGGTTTTCTAAGATATTCCAACCTGAAAATGTAGCAAACAAACTTCACTTCCTGTGGCAATCATGAACTCACCTCCTTCGTCTCAATAAATTGCATAAATCCCCTATTTACCCTTAGAGGTGAACGTACATTGGACAATTTCTATCCCTTCTGGTGGCATTCAGGAACACAAAAACTGGTAGGCATAATGAAGTAAAACAGACCAGATCGTTGACGAAGCAAGACTTTTCTGGGGAAGCATTGTCAAAACAAAAAGCCGGAAAGAGTAAAAACACAGGTTGCAAGTAGCAGAATGCATGTGAAGAGAATCATCAGGGTAGGAAACANTCTATCCCTTCTGGTGGCATTCAGGAACACAAAAACTGGTAGGCATAGCGAAGTAAAACAGACCAGATCGTCGACGAAGCAAGACTTTTCTGGGGAAGCATTGTCAAAACAAAACACCGGAAAGAGTAAAAACACAGGTTGCAAGTAGCAGAATGCATGTGAAGAGAATCATCAGGGTAGGAAACAATATTACTGACATTGAATATAAGGTAATGTTGCTGTTCATATCCTACCCATGTTCCATGTCCCAATAAAAATTGACGCTTGATTCTTTGTCATGTCTTTAGAATGCTGATGTTTCAATTGTTGAACAAGTTGACAAAACACCTCACGTGACTAAAACAGATTAAAATAACTGAAAATTATTCTTTCATAGTTGCAAAGAAGCTTGCTTAGATAACTCAACAAAATGAGGTTCATAGACTGATCAAACTTGAATACATCAACCCACTGCACATGTAATATACATATGCAGGGCAGCAGGGCCTGGAACAAAGAAGCCTAGCTTGTTTAAGGAATTGAATGATCTGTATTACCTTGCCATCATCAAACTCAAAGTCCCTTGCTTGCTTTGGCTCCATCTTCATTCGTAATCTCTTGATGTTATCTTTTGACTTAACCAATTGCGTGACTAGAGATTGGGATACAAAGAACTGAACATAACTTTTAAAGCTTAAGGGATCTTGTGTTATTAAATCATTGGTCAACTGGAGTTGCAATGAGTGCACAAATTAATGCATTAAGTATTAATTAGTGCATTTTTATACTCAGGAAGCATAACTGTACTATTTGCAACCTCAGACCTAATGTCGGGAACTAAAATTTAACTCATTTCTGACTAATCACTTTCAGCCTAGTTAATTGAAAAACATGCACAGTTGCAAGACTTCAAAACCTTTTAATACAAAGCATACATTTAAACATGAGAGACGTTTTTTTACCATAATACCAAACACAATGAAAAGAGCTGAAAATAGCACACAGAGTATATATTTTGATGAACTTCAAGGTGATTGGTAAGTTTGTAATTAAAAACACTCTCTTTAATGTTTCATATTATTTTTCTCAATCAAAACTAATAAAACTGGGAAATAAGATGGTAAAAATCTACGATGCTAATTACAATCAGAAAACCAACAATCTCCACAGTTATGATTCCCTTTGTTACTTGATGACTTATTAATGAGTTTGAGGGTACAAAATCATTTTAAATAATTATTAACAAATGTATTTGAAAGACAAGTAATAAGNAGCTGTTGTACGGAGCGCGAAGCAATCAAACATTCAGAAAATTCAGCAAAACTGGAAGTAGATTTTGAGCCTAATTGGGGTGAAATCGTTTTTGGCATATTTCTACCAAAGAAAGCTATATTAGCAGAAACTAACTATGGTCCATTTCAATTCTCATTAGGACCTATCTATTGGCAAAATACAAGCGAAACCAATTTTTAAGACTTGTGCCACTGATAGGCCATTTTGGTCGATTTTTACAGGCATTCACTCTTAACAGTAATGGTCAGGTTACACTAACACAAAAATAATGTTTGTTTGGTTGTGATGTGCAGCAAAATGCTCATTTAGAATTTATGACTTAATGACAATTTCAAATCAGTATGAGCTAAGTTAATTAAGCAGCAGAAAGTTTGGTTGGCTAGTTAAGATTTTGGGGCAAAGGAATGAAGACAAAATTTTTCTTATGAATAAATGTGACATCAAGTAATTCACATTTTGTGAGTTTGTGAGCATTAGTTTTGAGCCCAGACTTCATTTAAAGACTTGTGTAACTGTGGGTTGAGAGTGATGAAAGTGCTTGCAATATATCACACAAAGACCTACCTTCTTCGTAATTCACTGAAATATACAATTTGTTCTTAAAGCTGGATGTTGCCATTCCTTGAACCATCACCTACCAATTTCAGTAACAAAAAGCTGTTCACAGAAATGCTTTGAAACTAATGTGAAACTGACCAAAAAGACCAAGGCATGCTGATCTCAACTATGAACACTCTCATTACCACAGCAATCTTGCTACAGGATGGGAAGATAGAGTGCATGTGGTGTGGTTCAATTTTACCATTGGTACAATTTGTAATTTTCTTCAATTTGCTTTAGTGTATGGTAATATAATTTAGAAGGTCTGTAGTGGTAATAGGGAGTGTGATGACTCGCAAGTGGACTTTAAATAAATTGACAAACATTGCCCTAGCTTTTTTTGTTAGCTACATAAAAGCTGACTTCTCTCTGGGTGATTTTACCAGTCAGGACTAATCTGCAATCAAGGGTATTAGTCAAATATCACAAACATTCCACAGGGACTAACCTCAAATATACGAGTCCTGTTCCCTGCAGGCTCTTTGTCTTCTTCTTGGTTAATCCGCTGGACTTCCTTCAAAGCTCTGACAGCCTAGCAATGAAAACCACATGAAATTCATGGCTAATTAGACTTTTCTCTCTTATTACTGCACTTTGTCCCAGGGAGTGGGTAATGAAACTTCAGGGAAAGGACCCTTTCCAGTATTTCTATTCAGTAGATGTAAATTATCATTGTAAGTACATGCAGCATTAGTATTCAAGGTATATTGTCTTGAAAGTAGTGTAAGTAGCTGTATTAGACTATTGTAAGTAGTGTAAGCACTTGACGATAAAATTAAAATGTCACCCTCTACCAGATTTGCAGCAATATACATGTATCAATAGTCATACTAAATAGATAACTCACTCTTGACTAGTTTTAATAGTTGCATAACATGTATGCACCACATGGCTAACCAAAGAAAATTGTCAGTGACTAAGTTCAAAAACCCAACAGGTTCTGCTAAGAGACCCAAAGAACCAGAAACAAGCTGCTGATGATTTGGTGACACTTGGATCCAATGACCTGTTGACCTCATAGACATCTTGTCTTTATAGCTTACCTGTAACTCTGGGATTGGCAAGTTTTCATACACTTCTGCTAAATGAACACCCTTAAAAAGTTTAAGTCCTTAACTTTTACCAGCCTTGTTAACTTAACAAAGTTCACATTGTACAAAAGATATTGTCCCAATTGACTTACAGTCATCATAAGAATCTAGTGCGAANATGGCTTTGAATCGACTTTGCTCACTTAAAGCAAACTATTAACTACACAGATAACGATGAAAATATGTAATAACCCAGTAATACGGCAAGTCCAAAACAGGGAATAATTTTGTACAAGTATCAAACGAAATAAACAAAGTACGAATCGCATTTAATTGACGGCATGATTAATGCTGGAAAAAGCATCTGCGCTGCATTTAAGCTAAATACAGCACAATCTTCAAAGTATATTGTCATCAACTTCATTGTTCATGTATTGCTGCACCTCTTTGTCAGCATTTTGTTCAACTTGACGTCCAACAAACACGATACTCAGGATTGCTGTCTGTTGTAAGATGTCGGAAGAAAAATGGAAAATATATGACAAAGAATCTAACATTTATTTCTCAACGGATGGAACATTTCTGTTGGTTTGGTTACCTTAATCAATCGGGAAAGTACAGTAGTGTTCATTCAATCGCATTTCAGACCCACCGGAAAGAAAACTCCTTGAGTAGCCCCACTCCCCTTCAGAAATTTACCTCTTTCAGACCCCCCTACCCCTCAGAATTTCCATGACCCTCCGTGGTGGGGGTATGGATATTTTCTGGAACCAAACAATAAAACAAAAACAACATTCTTTGACAAGGGCAGGTTCTGAAGCCCATAATTCAAAATTTGTCATGTTCGTAGCACCATGCAAAATTAAAGTGGGTTGAGTAAGAAATGTTGAAACAAAATCTCTCAAAATATTTCCAAGGCTAAACATGTTTAAAAATAGTTTAAAAAAAGTGAAACACCAAACATTTTCATCATAATGCCATCTTCAGGGTGAAAAAGCCGTCTGCTACTTGCATAAGTTATAAATGTTAGGTAATTCCTGATGGGAACAGTTTCCCATGTAAGAGTGAATTTGTTTTTTCAAGCTGGGTTGCCATTGTTGGATCATTAGAACCTCTAGGATTCTTCACTAGTCAAAAGATTAGGCCATGTAGAGTATGCACCAGCTACAAGAATAACTAAATCTAGACTGCAGTCAATATTGATTTCAGCCAATCAAATTCATGGATTTGGTAGTTTCAAGTCCTTGTGAGACACAGCCATATAACAAACTATTGTTATAGCTTTCATTAAGAAATTAAGAACCTGCTCTTTCATTAATTTCATGGCTGTTACTTAAAACATTCATTCTTAGATTTATTGTAAGTAATTTTCAAGTTTTCTATTTTTATCCTCTGATTTGAACACAAACCAGCCTAACTACCGGTATACTCTAACTAACCTGAGTTTGTAGTAATTTTGCTCCAGCAATGCTCCCTGCCAGGAGATCCATCAACAGTTTGAAGTTTGGCTGTTCCTGTAAATAATCATCATGTAATTATAATATAATACTGAAATAATTTGCATATTAATCAGTTCCATTTTTTTAATTGAGTAGCATCACTGTAATAATTATTTTGTATAATAATTTGCATATTAATCAGTTTCATTCTGAATTATGCAGCATCACTGGAACATTTTTAAGACAGGACACTATAATATGTTAAGTTAGGAATTTTGGAGGGGTTTTTTGTCCATATTTTAAGAACAAGTGTGTTTTTTTTCACTTTTGCCCTTCTTTGTAGAGATTATGGGCTGGCTCACTTTATAAGGAATCTGCTTGACATGCAGCAGAGAGTAAGTACAGTTGCTGGTTCAAAATCAATGCAGGAATTTACTTTTTTCTCTACCCATTGACTCATAGACCACTGAGTACTGAATAGAAAACTGTTGAAATTACCCCTTTGATGACTGTACACTAAAATCTACAGCATAATAACTTACTTCTGTTGAATGTTCTGGCAATAACTGTGTCTATAAAGATAACAAACACAGTTAGGTAAGTCATTAATATGTCCCAGCCAGTTCTGGGAAATATACATATACCCACTCTAGAGACAACTAGCAATTCCAGAAGGATTGGGTGGTCCAAGTCTAGGAATTTCCCAAACAGAACTTAGGGGAGGGAATTAGTCTCCTGATCGATGGTCTATTTTGACCTAGTTCGTCAAATTGTTACTATCCATCTTAGTTCCACTTTCACAAAGATATACATTTAACAAAGCAATTTATACACAGTGGTGTATTCAAAGCAATTTCTTTCCCCAAAAATGCTTTTGAAGTCCATATACAAGCAAACAAACCATCATTAACACCATAGACATACAGGCTGGGGGGACTACAGCCCCCCAGTTTCAAAAATTATCCATGCAAAATGCTCATGATTTGCCCACTAGTACTTAGAAATACATTCCAAAAGGTTTCAAACAGGTAAAACCATATCCCAGTTAAATGCGTGTCATGGAAATCCACCCTATGGAGATTATTTCCATTCCCAATTTCCCATTAACTGAGACTTCAAAGTGTTTAAAAGGTGAACATGAGTCGTTCAGGTTCTAAGATGTTCAGATGTCATTTAAGCTTACATGCACATTTAAAAAAAGAAACAAATTGGTACTTCACAACTTTCTTAGCCTTGAAAAAAAATCAAGACTGCAAAACAGGTTTGTGAAATTCAACAAGCATATATAAGGGCTAAATTATTGAATGATTCGGCAAAGAAATCCCTGACTGCCATTTTTCTTCATTGTGAAGTGCTGTGAGCGTTTCCTTTCTATTAGCAGCTTGGTAGCTTAGCAGCAGTGTACATGCATGTGCAAGAAAAAGAACCATTGGTTGCAAACAAAAGGAAAAAAGACACAATTGAGGTCTTTGGAGAGGACAAGCAAATGTTTAAATTTAAAGCAGCCCGGAGTGTAAAGAAGTACTGCAGTTGCTAAACATTTACACAGCCCAGGCTCTATGGCAGATGCCGTTTGAGGTTTCTTGTGATAGAAAAAGGTGCTCTGCAAGATATCAGAATTTTCTCTCCACTCTATATCTACAAAGCTTTATAGTTTAAGAGAGCTTTCACTCATCATCACAGCCTTTGCGCAATGATCACTAACTGCAAATCGACAACGATCTTTGTTCAGCATTGTACCATTCTGTTAACAAAGTTAGAAATTTTATACTTTCCAAATATAGTTTCTGTATGGCACTGCAACACTTGCTTTCCCAGAAAAGGTCAACCCGTCCAGTTAATTAGTTCTGTGTAAACAGCTTCTCTTAACAACTATGGTTTGGTTCCGAAACCTCAGTTGGCAGCAACCGTAGCTAACCTATCTCACGGAAACACAGCATATGTTATTGATCAATTTTATTTAATTTTAAATTCTTATTTTATTCTTTTATACAGTAACTATTCGTATCGCCAACATTGTAATGTTGTCTGAAAACGTTCTACAACAAGTGCATTATACATTTTTAGGCAATGATGTAAGTCAATCATCTCATGCTGGCAGGCAACATTCCTTTGGATGTTGTGGCAACCAAGCCAGGTTGGCGTTGGCAAAATACATTGCATTTCAACTTTTCTTAAACAGAGATTTCAGGTAAGGAGTGACCGTTGTCCTCTCATGTATCGGACAAATTCATGCTCAGTAAGAAAAACATCAGACCTTTTTGTAAATGAGCAACATGTATACCCAAAAGGTATATGCTGAGAAAAGTCCCCCTGAAGTAACTTGTTCCACCCCTGAAAAGTAAGTTGTTTGCAACATCCCTTTTTAAAGTAGTTTTGACTTGCATGAATCACAACTGAAAAGGAAAACATATACATTTAATGATTTGCTCACTCCCATACTGCTCTCCTCCAAACTTGAAATACACAGGGTTGTTCTGACTTCAAGCAACTTCAATTACTTAATTTCCATTTAACATCTGTTTGCTTTGCAATTTCCAGGCCTAGGGTAGGTAATATTTCAAACATTCTGAAGTGTCCTCACTTGTACATGCCTCAAGAGTTTGCAAAGTAATATTCAAACTGGATAAATTTTTTCACTCTACTCAAAGCTGTGAAAGTGATGTTTTTTTGTTGTGCTGGCTCACACTCTGATTAAATCTCTTGGGTTTTAATGAGGTTTACATGTGACAGAGAAGTTGTAAACAAAAAATCCTTGTGAGACCCACCACCAAAGTGACTTGTAAACTATAGTACCTATTGGTTTTAATTGTTCATCTCAGTGATCCCCTATAATTCCAATCTGTGGTTGTCCAGTTAACATCTAATTTTCAATTCTGGGTGCTAAGGTTTTATGTACTTTATCCTATTATTCAGGTTTCTCAGAACTGCAAGCAATAATTTATTTCATAACACTACAAGTACTTTCCTATTGATCATTCTGATCTGTTGGGAAGCAACAAAGAGCAGAAGAACTTATTCCTAGAACGTAATATTTATGCAATATTAATAGATCACTATAATAATTACTGTGAGCAAAACAATATAAGTCTTAGTGATAAAATTTTATCACATCAGTGATAAGTTACTAACGTTATAGAATTCATACCAGCTTGTGATGATCTCCGAGACTAAATGCACCCTGAAGCAAGTTTACTCTTGACAGGAATGACTGGAGTTCTCTGTAAACATTACAAATTGAAAAATTGTAACTTGAAATCTACAAACTATCTAGAGTGTCTAGCTACCTTTGCAATACAAGTTTGATTTACTGCATGGCATTGGGGCTCCGCCATGCTCTAATTTGTCTTTGTCTCAAGTAAAATAATTAACAATTATCCCATAAGCGTGCTTGCATATGAGATGACAGATGGCCAACAAGGCACCTAGTGCTGAGTTGGCTATAATCATCTCATATCCAACAAGTTTAAGTGGAATTGCTTTTATTATTAAAAACTCCCCCAAAATATAGAAAACTAAAACTAAAATAAAAATATGTTAAATGCGCCCAAAAATTGTGCATACCCTTAAACCATAATTGTAGAGCATGGCATAATGACTCATAACCCATGATGGCTAGGCAAATGAAAACTCTCGAATTGCATTTTCCAATGATCCAGTTTTTAATAATGCTAATGATCAAAACAGGTATATGAACAGTAAACATAGTGTTAAATGGAAATTGTTTATATTTAAGGTCATTTCCCAGTATTGCATTGCGCATCCCTACTGCGCATAATTTCACACGTGATTAG